ACAATTCACAGCACTTGACTATTTATCTGCTAATCAGTCACTAAACATATGTTTAATGCATGCAGCCCTTTAGCACTGACTTTGACTCTTCAGGAAGCTGTTCTCCTATTCAAAATATATGAAAGGAGTCCTACTAGTTTATAATGTAAGATTAAAAATAACAGTTTTTAGTGACTGAACAAGAGCTGCAGCTAAATCATAATGAAGATATACATAGCATTAAGGCAAAAAATGGTATATGCAGTGTTATCTGCATTTTAGATGTCAAAAGGGTTTTGCAGCTCCCGGTGTTTTCTTTTGTGTGGGAAACGGGTCCAAATGGCTCTTTGAGTGTTAAAGGTTGCCGACTCCTGGGTTAGGTAAAGGTTTCCCCTTGACATTAAAGTCTAGTCATGCCTGACTATTGGGGGTGGTGCTTATCTCCATTTCCTAGCTGAGGAAGCCAGCGTTTGTCCAGTTAGTTTCCGTGGTCATGTGGCCAGCATGACTAAACACCAAGGTGCACAGAACGTTGTTACTTTCCCACTGAAGTGGTACCTTTTTATCTACTTGCATTTGTATGCTTTTGAACTGCAAAGTTGCAAAGACTCTCCCTACGGGTAAAGACGAGGAAGAGGCGCTGTTACTCTTACATATTTTATTAACTCTACATGTTTTCAGAACAACTTTGCTAATTTATTATATTGTACTGGCACACAGGCCAGAAAAATAGCTTTGGTTCTTTATGGAGGATTTAAATTCCTGTACTAGCAGGAACCAAGAAGTCAATAAGCACTTTTCATGTTGTTATGGGAGCGTAGCAATTATACATGGTGGGGGAGAGGAGAGATGTAATAAGACTTAAATCTCGTGTAAGGACATCTATAAATCTGTTAATGCCCTGGACTTAAAATAGAAAGTTTCTTACATTTCCCAAATGTCATTTGCCCAGAAAGTGCACAGCTTTGTGAGCCCTTCTGGACACAGGAGGCATTTCTGGTTTGTCCTTAAGGGTATTATATTTCTAAGGTAAGTTGTACTTGTATGCTTTTTTTGGGGAAATACCTCCTTTAAATATACAAAGTAGAAACTAATGATTTTTAAAACTGCAACAAATTCCATTTATCTGCAAATGTTTTTCTTGCCATCATTTTTTCTTAAATTATGTTCTTGGACTAGGGCTGCCACATCTTTTCTCGGTGGGGCTACTGTTCTATTATAAGTTGCACAATAGGCAGAAATTTGACAATATTGCTTTTTCTTTTTTTATTAACATTTTTAAACTAAGACTAAAAAAATATATTCAAACATCACAAACATTAACATTGGATTCACTGGGTCAACCTCCTACTACATATTTTTTAACATTCTAATATCAAATTCCAGTTAGTTTATCATAGTTTGAAAACATCTCTAAGTTTACACCAAGTCCCGTTTCTCCAGCCAATTATAAAAAGAGTCCCAAGTTCGATAGAAATCAGTATCCTCTTTCTCCTTAAAGTTAGTCTATCCATTTCTGCACAGTCCAAGATCTTTCTTAGAATCAATCCATCGGTGGGCAGCTCCTCACTTTTCCAATATTGAGCAAATGCAATCCTCGCCGCTGTAATTAGATACAACATCAAATAGATTTCCTGTCTGTTAACATCTTCCTGTATAATGCCTTACAAGAAAACTTTGGGTTTAAAAGCAAAGGGTTTTTGTAATATTTCCTCCATCTATGTATTTTAATCCAGTACTTTTTGCATTGTCACAAGTCCACCACATATGCTAAAAAGTACCCACTTTATGTTTACATTTCCAACATCTATTTGACATATTTGGAAACACATTAGCTAGTTGACTTGGTGACAAATACCATCTGTAGAACATTTTATATGTTTTCTTTATACGAAGTTGCTAAAGTTACTTTAATGTTTCTTTCCCATAGTTTTTGCCACTTTTCTAGTTCAACATTAAATTCAAGGTTTTGTGCCCATATTATCATAGTTTCCTTAACCTGTTCTCCTTCCATTTTCCTGTCAAGTAAAAAAGTAAGACAGTGATAGGAATCCTTACCTGCTGAGTTACTGCCTGAGCAGCTGTTAAAGCTTTTAGACTCCTGATCGGAAAATGAAGGCAGCTAAGCTTAACCCCTTAGTTCCCTTAAATTAAGTTCTGTTGATTCCTGTGATCCAATTCAAAGGTGACTCACGTAGCATGTTGGTTGTATTGGATTTGCAGTATGAATCAATAAGCATAAACTAGAATGGCCTGGGTAGATTAGAACCTCAAAACCTGTGAGTGAAGACAAACGTAAATGATGTACATTTAGAATTAAAGTACTCGGAACATAAACATTTGCTCTGTGTATCAGAACTGAATGGTACTCAGTTCTTCCACACAAAAGCACCTCAGGATCACCTTACGCTTTTTTTCATTTCAGCAGAATAAAGTATGCAGGTGAGAGGGGTGTATGTGTTAGTTTGCTGCTGGGCCTATTGTTAAACAATCGGGAGTCAGTAATCACTCAAAGATTTAGCAGTAAATCCAGATTCAGCTTCTGTTAACTCCTGATTTCCTGAAAGGTCTCAAGGCCAATGCCAGTTTTCATTCTGTATTTAGAATGGGATTCTGTGTAACCCATCACTTCTCCAGTCATAGTTAAGATAACTGTTTAGATCAGCAGATAATAGAGGTGTATTTTACAGGCTGTTAGGTGGTCTTTCAGCAAAAGCCTTCCGAGGCTGCTATCAAATAATGAAACCATTTAATACAACAAAGCTAATAGATCTAGTACAATAAGAACAGGACAAAATGATAAATGACACCAATAAAATAAGCAATTAAAGCAGCAAGAATCAACTTAAAAAGAGGCTTAAAACAAGACAAAATGAAGGGCATCAAAGTATGATCATCCATTAAAGCAAGAGTGGATTATTTGTGGCCCTTCAGGTGTTGTGGCTTATAATCCCTGTGGTCCCTCATTATGCTTACTAGATTTGATAGGACTTGCAGGCTAAAATAACATATACCTACCCCCAGCACATGATATGCAGTATGGGTGGACAAAGCCATTGGCTAATAATAGCTGTACATCTAGGTAAAAGCATAGGATTTTCCCTACTTGTCCTTACTTCCTGAGAGACTTTTTATTGCCTCCAGAGTGGAACTTGAGTGGGGAACCAGGAGTACAGGGCATGTTATGACAGGGGTTTGGATAACAGAGTCCATATTGCAGTTAATGCCAAAATCTGCATAGCATAAAAGTAATGGTCTTGAGTCCAGTAGCATGGGTCACTATTACTGTCTGTGTGTGAGTGTGAGAGACAGAGAGACTGAGACTGTCTGTTGGAACTCCAGAGATTGCTTCTTACTTATGATAGCTGCTTCCTCTCTTCTTTGCTGCTGTTGGGTGCCCCTTCCTCACTACTTATTTCTCTTCAGGCCCAATCTGTGGAAGTAAGGACAAGAGCAGTTCCTTTGTCCACCTGCTGGATGACAGTGTCAGCCATAGTGTCATCTTGGCTTTGTTTGCTTCCATTTGCCATTACTCCAGTGGACCCAGAAGTGTGGCTGCTGCTCCTGCTGAATTTGGCCTGAAAGACACAGGTGGAGAAGGAGCTGTTGGGAGAAGAGCAGTAGCAGCATCGTAGCATAGGCACCATAGGAGACAGAAATGAACCCCCAGCAAGCTAGCCAGCCCCACCCATCTGCCACCATGTCTGTATATGTGTTGCTGCCTGCAAGAACCCACCCTCTCAAATGCTTGATTGATGTTTTCCCTCAAAACTGTATCCTTACAGGTTACTATGCAGCTTTACTCAGAATTCTCGCTCAATTCACTCTTACATAGCATCTGAGCAATTCTGAGGACCAATGTATGTTTTCTCCATTGGAGACACTGATGAATATCTATGACAACTAGGTAAGCAAGTCTGTTTGATCATAGAATTTTTAAAAATCTGCCTCTTCAAAGACAACAAAAGTGTCTCTAAAATAATGGAAGTCTTCTATACCAGTGGTGCAGAACTTCAGTACCTGGGCCCCAGGGCATCACATCCTTTCCAACAGCCATGAATCATTTCAATTCCTTTCCTCACTTAAGGCTTAAGTGCCTTTTCTAAGGCACAGTTACTAAAACCAGTAAGAGCTTTAAACAATAATTTGCGGGTATTTTGGACCCATCCATTTTACCTTCCGTCTTAACCAACAGAGGAATGCAGCCTCCAGCAGTTTTTCCAAAATGGAATTTGGCCTTTGGGCTGAAAGAAATTCCATACACACTTAGTTGGGGGTAAACCAGCTGGGAATTATTTCCGAGTAGATAAATGTCTGCAGTGTGGTTGCCTAAATATTTTACATGTGTCTTTTGAATGAGTTGTGTTTTCCTTAGGATGATGTCATATTTTTGTGAACTTCATTTTGGGCCCACTGGGAAGAAAGATGGAACATAGCATGAAATGAAAGTGCATATAGATAACAAAGTACAGCCTAAAAGGGGGATACTCATTTTTGAAGAGCACAGCACCAGACATCTCAACAAGATACTTCTATCCCTTTCCTCACTCGTATGCAGATATTAATGTATGTATTAATGTATAGATACACCCAAAAGGAAATGTTATTTTATCTGGGTGTTTTTCTTTCTGCTCACAAAGTCTTTGCTGTGATTTACTGGAGCTGTAAATTAGGAAAAAGTGGCTTCAAAACATTCAAGTATAGAAGGTGATTTTATATCATCCCTGACTTCTTTGATTATGATGCTGTCATTAACATGTTTTTCCACATTCATGATGAATTCTTCTTAAAAAGGAGGATGCCATTTCTTACTTCTTTTGTCCCATGTGTAGGAATAGGTGTTATCAGCAGGAGCCTGGCCGGGTTGTGATTATCTGCAGTGCTGCAATGATTCTGCCATGCCATGGATCTTGAGAGCTCATTCAGATTGGGCCAAAGGTTGGAAGAGCAACAATGGATAATAGGCATGCCAAGTTTAATATTACTGTTCTCTCTAAATACTATTCCCATGCCTTAGAATAGGAAATAGAATATTTTGATAATGGAGTCTGCTAATCATCAGAACTTCCGCTAGAGAAAGATAAGTTATGAGTGAAGTAAGAGGAAGTGGGTGACACTATTAGTTCATTTAGTCATCAGGAACTGAGATAAGCATCTTCCTTGTTATCATTTGCCTTCTTTTTACAACATCATAACGAGGGACAGTTATGCTCTGATTCCTGTGAAGAGGAATGGCAACCATGTAACTATCAGAAGAAAATTAATAGGTGAAAATATGATGAATTTCTTCCTCCCAGTTAATCCCGGAATCTGTATAGCCATGATATGTGTGTAAACTTTGGCTCAATATACACAGTCATGGAAGACTGATTAGAGAGGACATCAGTCAACTAAATTCATCCATCATCCAACTGAACCATCAAAATAGCCCAGTTTTCTATTTATTGCCACACATCACATATGGATGTGCTTTTTCTCTGTGCGGGTGGGGGAATGACGACGACACATCGAATAGCTGGAAAAACAGCAGAGGGAAACAAAACCTGTGAAGCTGCCTTATACTGAGCTATCCCTATCCAGATATGCATGGCAAGGTGGCAGAAGGTGCTCCATGCCACTGAGCCTCAAGTAGCAAAGATGGATCACCGAGAACACCAAAGCTAGAAACCTGCTCCTTCCGGGGAAGTGCAAAAAGGTCAGAAGAATAATCCACCAATAGCATTTCAGTCTTGTCCAGATTTGGCTTCAGTTTGTTAGTCCTCATTCAGTCCAGTGTTGTAGCCAGGCATTGATTTAGCAGATCCACAGCCTCACCTGCTGACAATGGAAGGGAGAAATGGAGCTGTCTGTTATCAATGTACTGATGGCAATGCACGCCAAAACTTCAGCAGAATCTACTCAGCAGTTTCACTTTGATGTTAATTAGCATGGGAGACAGAACAGACCCTCTGCGGAACTCTATGCAGGAGAATCCACAGGATTGAACACTATTTTGCAAGCACCATCTTCTGGAGATGACCCTCCAAGTAGGAGTAAGACCAACTAAAATGCAGTGCACACTCCATCCCAACTTAGGGTCACCCCAAAAGAATACCATGGTTAACAGTACTGAAAGCATGGTTATGGCTATACTAGAAGAACACATGTAATAGCTATCAGTGATATAGTAGCTGTACCCTGCAAATGCAGCCTCTGCACTAAGCAGGAGACTGAGCTAGTCAAGTCTTGTAGCTCCCTTCCAACCGTACGGTTAAAGAAAAAAGTTGTTTTACTTTGATGGATAGCAAGAAAGGTGTGTGGGGGCACACTGAATTGTCTTCCCCTGGGTTGCCTTAGACCAGGGGTCCTCAAACTTTTCCACCAGGGGGCCAGTTGAAAGTGCCGGTGCTGGGTGCAGGCCGGAAATGTGGTGCCGGGGGTGCGCACGGGCCAGTGTGGGGCATGCAGGTGCGCATGCTGAGGCGGAGGCAGGGCGCACAGCAAGGGGAGGCGAGGTGAGGTGTGAGCGGGCACACGCCATGAGGTGGGCGCATTAGGCAGTGACTTGCTCACTTGGAGAAAACGATCTCCAAGTGAGCAAACCGCTGCCTCCCCATGTGCGAGGCAAGGTGGGCAGCAGTGGGCATCTGCACATGTACGGGTGCAGGCACTCGCGTAGGGGGTCCAAATGGGCAGGGCGGGCCGGATCTGGCCCCAGGCCGTAGTTTGAGGACCCATGCCTTAGACTGTTGATCCATCTAATTCAGTTGTGTCTGTTACACTGACTGGACCTAGCTCTGCAGGGTTTCAGATGATGGGAGTGCTTCTTAGCTCTATTCGGAGATTGAACTTAGTGCACATTTTCTATGCAAAAGTCCACATCAGGGCTGTTCCTTCACTGCAAGAGTGAATCAGCTTCTTAAATTAATTCAAATGCAACATATAGGTGTTTTCCAGTTGCTGTTTACCAGATAGAAATGATCAATTAAATTGATGAAAATATATACAGTAATTTCTTGTGTTGTGTGTAGGTTTGCATGTCTAATCTCTTCACTAAGACTTTTCCTCAAACTGTTCTTCAAATAGAGAGGCAGGAGATGGTACCGGCCAACACTGAGTACAGCAGGATTAAAAATCATGCTCATTGGTTAACTTGGGCTTGACAAAGCTGTTGGTTTCTTGAAGTGCAATTAGACTAATGGAAATAATATACCTACATTTTATTTAAGGCTTCTCTTCATTTTGGGCAAATATATTATGTTGCCATAATGAACTCAAGTTCTAGTTCATGTGGGTTTACAAAATCTGTGTAGGAAAAGCTCTTGAAATACAGGACTATGGACTTTTTCCCATTATCTATAGGAGACTATGTTAAATATGTAAATATTTTGTTATATACTATTGAATGAAATCAATACAAAATGGAATATTTATTTAAAGCATTTTTATGCTACCCCCTTTGCAAAAAGCCTTGGGACGGCTTACAAAGCAACAGGCAGATGTAAAATAAACCTTAAAATCCGGATACATCTCAGTAGATTATAAAACCAATAAATAAAGATAACAATTAACAGTTAAAATATCGTTTAAATAAAAAGGTCTTGGCCTGGTGCCGAAAAACAAGTAACGACAGCGCCAGGTGGACCTCTCTGGGGAGCGCATTCCATAGGTAGGGTGCCACCGCAGAGAAGGCCCTCTTCTGGGTACTCGCCCTCCTCTTTCATGGAGGGCTCCCGGAGAAGGGCCTCTGCTGCTGATCTCAGGGGGCGAGAGGGCATATATGGACGCCAGTGCTCCTTTAGATATCCAGGTCCCAAGCCGTTAAGGGCTTTATAGGTGATAACCAACACCTTGAATTGGGCCCGGGCTTCAATGGGAAGCCAGAGAAGCTGACGGAGGACTGGGGTTAAATAGAGACCATGGCAAGACCCCTTGCAACAAGTTGAATGGTATGGGTAACTCTAAGGGGAGGAGGGCTAAAAAAAAGTTCACGCTGCAGCCTGTTTAGAAACTGAGACCTCTCAGGGGAACTTTAGAGAACCATCTGAGAGCCATACTACATGTTAATGGCATGAAGGCAAATAACCTTATATAAATACCAGCTGAATTGCTTTGGAAAGGATACCTGCATTGTAGAAATGGCATCAGAACCTGTTCTTTGGATCTCAAGGGAAGTTCCCATAGATAGCAACAGTGGCTTTTTCTGCAATGCAAACAGTAACCTAGGACACATTTTGGGTGTAATGCAATAAGGTAAATGTTGATATGGTAGGGATGTCAACAATCAAAGTATCCACCATACCCAACACAAGGGAATACACTCTTATTCCTTGGGGTGTCAACTACAGCAAAATGATGAGAGAATGAAATAGATAGTTTCAACAATGTATTTGTAAAATTCACAAATACAACCATAAGAGGAAGCAATGAGCATTTTAATTTGGTGAAGTAAGTCCCTCTACTGGCCAATGGTTAACAACTGTCTAACTAACAGCAACCTAAATAAATCCACCCCATTTTAACTTAAATGAGCATATGTTCATTTTTTGATTTGATAAACACAAATAGCAGACCTTTTCCTCCTGTTTTAAAGTAAATTTTGAAAATATTTTACATTGCTCTCAAGCACATATCTATATTATTTTTAAAGGCATGAATACAACACCAAGGCAATGCAGTGTTCATCCACTATGTTGAAGCATAATATTCCACAAATGGATATACAGTTTTAGGCTGATTCTTAAGATCATGGTAATGGCAACATAATATCTACACGCTAAGTAGTAATGGTTTGGAGCAAATGACTTTCAAGTACGTTAAGTTTCTGAAAGATAGCAACTTAATGCAGAAATGGAAAATATTCCTGAATAATATGCAAAGTTTTTATTACATTTCAAATCACAGTACTACTTCATCTTAGCATTTTTACTTAAATTTCATACAAAATTCCAGTGTTCTAAATAATCTTTCCCACACTTTTGAAAAAGTAAAATCCTGAAGGCTGTTAAGTTCAAGAAACATCTAAAGCTAGCTTGCATCTAAAGCAAGGTTGTCCTCTTGCACTGGTAGCAGAGGACTTTCTCCAAACTGGTGCACTGGTTAGTTTCACACAGTGGTTCAGAGGACAGACTCCTAAGCCTCATCTTTAAACCAGTTTCAGGAATGTATGCTAAACTGAAAATAATAGCAACACATTTGGTCAGGAAGAGTTTTGCCTCTACAATCACCCACATAATTCTACAAAAAGTGAAACTGAAAAAGTCTTATTAGTTACATTTTATTTTTACAGTTATTGGGATGGAAGGATAAAAATCTTTATTCTTCTAGTTTTGCAGTGCCTGCATGGCTATGGCTATACTAGAAGAACATATGTAATAGCCAGAGGGTAAGAAAGTAAATGCAGAAAAAAAATCTTGGAATGTTACTTTTATGGTACTTCACTATTGTTGTAAGCAGGTCAACAGGAAAGCACCTTTACTGGGTAATGCAAAGTCCCTTGTGACAAAGATGTGGGCAGAGACAGGAGTTCAGCATGCTGTGTTGAAAGCTGACTGGCCAAGGATCCAGCTGTGCAAATGCAATTCCATACAACTTAAGTCAGGATTTCTGGATGTCACAAGGCTCATCCACCAAAATCCTAATGCTTTTTTATATTTATAGTTTTCTTTTTTCTAATAAGACTGCAACATTCAAGTAATGCATATTAAATAAGGCTGCAACATACACCCTGCAAATAAATCTTTGTGTTGCTGAAAATGTAAAACCTTAAAGGCCAATAAATATGTACTACAGCATAAACTACAGGTAGATGACCTCGTACTCATTAGCTGTTTTAGATTACAATTGCTATAAACCCCAGCTGCTCTGGGATCTATCACACCTTCTAGAAGATACTCTAGAAGAAAAGAAACAGGATAGTTCTCTGAATGCAATCAAACCAAACTTATTCACTTTGATGTTCTGCCAATTTCAATTTAAGAACTTTAAATAAACGCTTTACTATTGCTTTTAGAGTGTTTAACTTTGGCTCAACCATGCCTTAACTCTTAAGGCTTAAACTATATCAAAGCATTGACAAGAAGTATGCAAAACATATAAACTTGATCTGGTTGAAAATGTGTAATCAGGATCCTCCTATCACAATGCTACTGAGAAAGCATTTGAAGGGAAGACATGGCAGACAGGTGCTATTCAAGTATTCTTTCCAGTGGAGTCTTGCCCAGATAGTTTTTAAAGGTCTTCTCACCCAAGGGGCAATTGCAAGGAAGAATTGTTAGTATAGAAGGAAGCAAGCACCTCTCCTATGGGCAGCCTGCTCTGCCTTTGCAAAAGTCTGCACACATCCCTGCTATATTGTCAAAAACGGGGTTGGAACCATGCATTCACAAGGACAGTAGTGGCATCTATCATGGGAAGCCAGCGCTGGCGACTATCAATGCTGCCCGATCATGCTCACTCATCTCCTCCTGCCAGTTGGGCTCCAGTTCAACAACAGAGTAGCAAGTCAGATATCCTGGTATGGATGTCTTGGTAAACAGACCAGAGGGAGGTTCCCAGGTATGTCTAACATCTCCTACTGGCAGGAGCCGCCAAGCAGCAGGCAACCATGTGTTTCCTTGTTCACAGTAAGCCAGAATTGTCAGCAATTCCGTCTGTGACATTGGAACATGCCTAGTTTGGTCTTCAGATTATAAAGAATGTTTATTTATTTATTTATTAAAACATTTCTATGCCGCCCCATTCGCCGGCAGCTCACAACATTAAGTGAAAATACAAACATTAAGTTAAAACATTAACTTAACATAATATTAAGTTAAAATGTTTGTAAAATACAAACATTAAGCTAAAATACAAAAAATAACAATATAAAATAAGTCGCCCTGGCCAGATAAAATCAAATAGTATTAACAATTAAAATGACGCTTAAATAAAAAGGTCTTCGCCTGGCGCTGAAAAACAAATAGATTAGGCGCCACCGCAGAGAAAGCCCTCCTCCGAGTACCCACCCATGTTTCAGTGCTTGTGAGTTTTGCACTAAATTAGAGCATTATTCAGACCTTCTTGCCACTTTTAAATTTTCCTCTTCTTAAAATATTCAACCATGGATTTCGTCTTTTAAACACTTACACTGTATCATACAAGGGAAAAGGCATGGATGACAGTCAGTGGCATGATTTAAGAAACTTGTTCTGCAATGAACTGCCCCTGAGCTATTAGGGTTATATATGATACATGCACAATATCTCAAATCTTGAGATAAACTAATGCACAGAGCCTTCCACAAATACATTTCTGCCAATGGCTGGACAACACACACTCAAACACTCTTCTAAATATTCATGCACCATTTACACAAGACAAAAGAAATGCCCAGAAACAATGGTGATGGAAGGGATTTAAATATCAGGCTTTCAAGTGTCAGGATTCAGCATCAGCCCTGCTGCTAAACTACCCAAATGCAAAAGGTGTGATTCATGTAAAAAGCTTTATTAATATATACATATGCACACGCACACAGACCAGCTGGTAGAAATTGGAAAGACAATCCAATTCAGCATTTTAATTTGTGGCATCATCCCTTTGAAAGGGAATGACCTGAATCTCTCTTGCTATCCGCTCTGCTATTACTTGGCTGTTGGCAGCAATTATTCTTCTGGACATCAAATCAAATGGTCCTCCTAGGGGAAAAACACACAAACACAGAGTGAACTACAATTAGTCTGTAGCCTTAAATCTGTCATAACGTTATGCAGTAACTCAAGACAGAAAGGGTTGGACATGCAAAGGGTTGGGGGCGTGTGCAGGAAGGAGTAAAGAAAAAATGAATGGGGTACATGTGCCAGTATCTGCTCACTGCTGGTAAACCAGGATTCGCCAGAATTCTAGCTTACCATTGCATCCATACATGACTACTGATGCTCTTGTATGGTCACAGGGAAAAAACACCTATGGTAAATTGAAGTAGGAGTTCAATTAATCTGGAGTGTCCTTCAGAACAAAAAACTAAGTGGATACAATCCAGAAGAAATTAGTGGGCATAATCCAGCAGAAAGCAGGTGTGTTGAGGCTGTTATCCCACTGAATGGAACACAGATGCTCATCTCTCACCCAGCATTCTCTAGATTGTGTTATCTGTATTTAGTTAGTTGGCCATTGTTAACTACACACAAATAATACACTTCTTTCATTTAAGAAAACAAACCAAAATAAAAGCCTGGTCAGGTTAGGTTTTTAAAATATTTACCAGAGACATCTAGCAGTACTCCACCTGCTTCCATAATAATAATTCCAGCTCCTGCCATATCCCAGCAATGAATTCCCATCTCATAATAGGCATCCGCTCCTCCTGCTGCCACCAGACACATATTTATGGCTGCTGTCCCAACCGCTCTAATCCTAAAACAGATAATGTACATTAATACAATGAGAATCAAAACCCAGAGCCTTTTTCCTGAGGAATTTACAGCAATCCCATCATTTGGAATTCAAAAACGTAGTTGCAAAATTTGTCATGGTTAAGTCTTACTGTCCTTTTTGGCTTCTAAATGCAACATATAGATTCACAGAATAGTAGAGTTGGAAGGGGCCATGAAGGCCATCAGGTCCAACCCCCCTGCTATTGCAGAACACCAATTTGCACCATCCCACTCAGATGAATGTCCAGTTTCTTTCCGAATGTGTCTAGTGTGGGAAAGCCCACCATCTCTCTAGGCAGCTGACAGTGAGGAAACTTTTCCTAATATCTAGCTTGAATCTGGGTTGTCACAACTTGACTTGATTATTCCATGACCTGCACTCTGTTATCAGTGAGAAGAGATCTTGACCTTCCTCTTTGTGACAGCCTTTGAGGGATATCATGTCCCCCATCAGTCTTCTCAAGTCAGAACATACCCAGTTCTCTCAGTTTTTCCAAAGCCTGGGTCATTTTTGTTGCCCTCCTCTGAACTCTTTCTCATTTTTCTGCATCTTTCTTAAATCTTGGTCCCCAGAACTGGACACAGTATCCCAGTTGTCCAGTGAGGAGCATAGGGGAACTACTACTTCTCATGATTGGGAAGTGATACTTCTGTTAATGCATCCCAAAATAGCATTTGTTCTTTTGGCAGCTGCATTACATTGTTGGTTCATATTTAGCCTATTGTCCACAATTATTCCCATTTCAGTTCTGTTGAGCCACATATTGCCCATCTTGTATTGATGCATTTGGTTTCTTTTTCCTAGGTGGAGGACTTGGCACTTGTCCCTATTGAATCTCATTCTGTTGCTTTCAGCCCAGTGTTCAAGTTTATCAAGATTGCCCTGGATCTTCATTCTGTCTTCTAGGGTGTTTGCTATTCCACTCACTTTTGAATCATCTGCAAATATCTTTTCTTGTACCTCCTCATTCAAATCATTAATAAAGACTGGGTTTAGCCAAATACTGTGAGTCGATGTGGTACAGTGGTTAAGGGTGCTGGACTGTGAGATCCCACTTGGTCATGAAGGTCCCTGGATGGCTTTGGACCAGAAAAATGACTCTCAGTATGGCATATTTTTAGTAGTATATCAACAGATTTGTGTCAGGAAAGACATTTTGTTAGGTATTGCAAGTCCTGAACCATTAAGGCTTTACAGGTCAATACCAGCACAAATGGGTCAGAACTGGTTTATTTATTTTGTATGGCACTAGTACAGTTAGCCAAGAAGTCTACAGAGCAGTCTGGCTGCCTAAGATTGCTAGTTCTTCAGTTCACGCTCGTGTGCTATCCACAGTACACCACAGGGGACGAGCCAGCTTTCCACATAAAGCAGATAATGCTGGTCTATGGGAGTGCTGCCACCCTCCAGTCTCTCTCCACTGCCAGTGCTGCCGCTGCAGATTCAACACTGCAAGTCTGACGCGGGGCTGGTTCTCACACTTCCATGCAGGTCACTAGCTCCCCACCAAGGAGGATACCGATTCATCTACTTGTGCTTTTACAAAGTTTCTAGCTGCTAGGTAGGCAGGAGCTGGGACAAGGCAATGGAAGCTTACCCCACCGTGCATATCAAACCTGCCAGCTTTCTGATCGGCAAGTTCAGTGACTCAGTGGTTTAACTTGCAATGCCACCTCACCAGAATTGGTGTTACATATTCAAACCTTTTGGGCAGCATGGACAGGAATCTTTGAATATGGCCAAGATCAAGTGACCTTTGAATAAAATGCCCTTGTGAAATGTACAGTTGGGACACACAACCCAGAATATCTTATGCAAATTGAGACAGGGAAAAAGACATACAACTCCCAGCCTCACTTAAGAACTGTTATAAAGGTTGACATTTTCTTGTCCTGCCTTCCCCAATTACCCCATTAAGGATTTTATCCATTACTTATTTTTGCTACTATTTGTAACTTCTTAAAAAAATAACACCAAATAATTTTATAAATAATAAATGGCAGTAGTTTTAAAATCCTATTTAAGGAATTAAGATGTTCAAAATCACTCTGACATATGGACCTCAAATTGTTGTAACTTACTGCAGTGTTAGAAGCAGGACTCTCCTTCAGAGGTACCCTTCCTAGTCACATCTTACACCTTTTCTGCTGCTACCTAATTTCTTTGTTACTCAATTCTCTACTACCCCCTATATTTGGAGAAATGGAAAACACAGCTCCTGGACACCAAGGGACAAGAAGAGGGCTACAAAGTTCTTTTCACTGTGGACTTATCATGTCTACTGCTCACACTGTATGAGATTACATGCACTTGGTCATTCAGACAGTACATCCTCATTTGGGCTCCTGGACTGGATGGAAAGAAGAATGAGAGCTTTCCTATAGTTTCTGAGGAAACCTTTGTTGTGCTTTCAACAACAACAAATAAAAAGGAAACAAGAAGGTGCCTTACCCATGCACAGGAATGCTGAGAAGTCTTTGCATGTTAGAAAGAACCGTTTTTATAACTTCTGGATCACGGTTGGATCCCAGCTCTGACACTAAGAGTGCTTTCGCAATATCTATAAAATGGGAAAAATATGTAAAAGTACGTCACCATACCTATTATATTAGTTTATATTTGATCAGTGTTGTTCGAAGACAGCAAAGTCATTATTTAAGACAGGTGCTAGCAAAACATATTGGAGAAAGTATGTAATTATTCTGCATAGGAATTTAAGTCATGACCTTCGTGGTTCACAAACTTATTTAGATTCACATAGTACCCTTTAGGAAACATCTGACTTCTAATAGATCTAAAGCAAAGTACAAAGTTAATGTAACAGACTCTGGCCAAGAGCCAACCCTATTACACTGACCTTACTAAGAGCCACAATTCTATGCAAGTTTAGACAAAAAAAACGGCCTACAACTCCCAGCATTCCCCAGTCAGCATAACTTACATAAGATTGCGCCTTAAAGGAAGCAAAATTCATTATGCTCCACAGGTCTCTGGCCAACATTCCACTGACTCCTGCCCTGAACATTTCACCTTAGTGCCTATTAATGTACTGTGGAAGTACTCACCACATTATTTTCATACACATTATATGCTCTTGAAAACAAAGTCAGATAGCTTGTCTGAAACATGGTAAAATGGTGTCAGGGAGACTACTGAGTCGGTAGTGCATCTATCAAATGCAGTGGAATGGCAAGAGGAAACCAGCTAACTCAACCAAAGCGAATCCAGGACAAGCCTTATGACACCCATTCAAGTTCCCAGGCAAGTGTTGTTTAGTGAGGGGAAAAGCTGTACTCTTCACATACTTCTCTGGCTGAAGGCACCTAGGTGAACTCATGAACTCCATTCTAATGCCATTTGAAATGTTTTGTAATAAAACACAATTGGGTGCTTACATCTCTGAATCTTTCACTTCCTTCCTCAATTTTGTACAGTCATGTTGTTATATAAATACAGAAGAGGCTGTGAAGGAGTATATGGAAAGGAAGAAGGCACCAGAAGAGAGCCCAGAGCAGGAAGGGGTCAAGCAGACCAAGCAAGAGAAGAAGGTCTGATGAGATCAAGGCAAGGGAGGCTAAGTAAGGGAGGGACAGAGCTACTGGATGGAGTAATTAAAAAGGGAACAATGTGGCCCAGAAAAGATGGGAGTGTGAGGTGGAAGTGGATGAGGAAGGTGAGCAAACAAGAAAGAAAAGTGGGCACTAGAAACAGAGTGGGACCTGGAAAGAGAGAAGAACCCTGGGCTGGTGAGGGATGTAGAGACAAGTCAGGACTGTACTGGCAGATGAAAAAGAGAAGGCTTTGCTTGAAGTACTGAAAGGTGGCTTTTTAGTATGGGGGATAAGACAGAGCATGGTCCAGAGAACAACAGAGCAGAAGAATTCTGACCCATAAGGATAGGACCTAGCTAATGGAATAATATAGGAATGAGCAATTTGTGGCTCTCCAGTTGTTGCATATAGCCCCTATCATCTCTAGCTAGTATAGCCAATAATGGAGGATCACTGCAGTTCCAGTTTAACAACATCAACTGCTACAAGTTGTCCAACTCTGGCATAAAGGGTAAAATAATCACTGTATCTAATACTGTAATTTGGTGTATTAAAGCTGATAAATTCTGTTTCCCAAATTGTTGTAGAAGAGATTACGGAACCCTATTAAGATGAATTGCCTCTGATGAGCTCTGACATGACAAAACCTTACCACGCTGTTGTGATACTTGGAGCTTTTGCCCATTACAGAACGCTCCCTTTCCTTTCCTCCCAGTATACATTTTGTCTTCTACGCAGCTATACACAATTCCAAACTCCATCTGCAACCAAGAAAATGCAACATTTTATTTATAAACAAGCACACATGCAGGATATGATAGATGTATTTCAACATTTCTTGTGAATGTTAAAAAGGAAAACAAAGTTACCTCTCTCTTTACAACAAAGCCAATTGAAACTGCCACAAAAGGAAACCTTGAGAAACAAAGAGAGAAGTATATTGCACATGTAAGCCCAAATGCATAATGTTAAAAGTTGAAAAAGTATGCACTTGGGGAAAATTTTAACTAGCCGCTCCAGTCCTAATCATTACATGCTTGAAAACAAGATCTAATATGCATATTCCACAACACAGCTCAGAGACCATACTCTGATTCCAAAGAAAGAGGATAAAAAATATTGCTCCCACAGTATATGTAGGACTGAGAGAAATATGTTGAAATGTACCTGTGGACAAAGTTAGTAGTTCCATCAATAGGGTCAATAATCCAAGTGGGATTATCTGTCAAGGTACTTCCTGCACCAGCTGCAACTGATTCTTCTCCAATAAAGCTAGTGAGAACAAGAATGTTAAAGTGTACATTTACATTTGATAGATATTGATTTTAAAGTTATCACCACAAATTTAAAAAACAATTTCTCACGTGGAAAATTATTTCTGGAACATCCCAATTCCTTGAACTAAATTAAATTTATGCAATGGAAATGTAGAAATGTAAGGATCTTGTGAGTTCAAACCAAAAGGTTGCTTAGTGCAGCACCCCAAACTTGGCAGGATGTTGTTCTGTCAAGCCATCAAGGTCTGCAAGAGGCTTCCAAGAAGCCCACAAGAAGGATATGAATGCGGTAACATCCTACAACTGACACTCAGTTTCATCCTGTCTCCAACCTAGGAGTTCCACGCAGAAAACAAAGCAAATAGAAATCTTACATGCTATTGAATTTGGGTGATCTGTTTTTAAAACCATTTAAGCCAGTGGCCAGCACTGAATCTTGTGCGAGTGAATTCCACAAGATAATTGTAGAAGCTTATAACTCTGCAGACTCCACTAAAACTCAACATAAACAAAAGCTTTGCCTACAGGTAAGCTATGAAAGAGATAAGAAAAATTTACATCTCAACACCATCATAACTACTATATAACTGCATAATAGGTTTTTTCATTCAGTGCCAGGCCCAAACTCTTATTTTCTCCTTATTTTATATATTATTATTGTTTATAATATTGATTTTATGTATTATTTTTGATGCTATATCTTATTTATTTTATTGCCATCCTGACACACTGGAGGGCGGGATACAAAAAGCTTTAAAAAAATAAACAACTCTTACTAAATAAGCTTGCTCTGAGATAGAAGACTCGTAGCACTTCTAATTAGAAGGCACTATGCAGCTTTTCTATTTTTCTTCTCCTTAATGGATTATTTGAAGTGATAGGAAGAACCATCGGTAGGAAGGCTACCAGTGGAAAAGGATGTTAACTAGACCTCCTGTAAAGTTCTGTGAATGGGGCAGAAGAAAGCCTTGTCTGAAAAAACCCTAAGATCACTGCATTGCAGAAATAGATCTTAAAATGGAACAAGCTGCACCTATGATGTAGGAGAACTTGGCTAGTTACAGAGTCCCTTTTCCTTAACATTGTTATTGAGCATGCAGTAGCCTCACTTTTATAAAGCCATCAAGTCACAATCCTACAAAGGCTTCTTTAAGCTTATAATGGTCCTAAAACCAGGATGTGTCAGAAATTTATCCTGCACATCACATAAACACTTGCCAGCAGGAGCCAGAAGATAACTGGCTAAATTTGCCAGAGCATATCAGATGTTAAGGCCTAACCCCTATAAAAATGCTTGGATCACACTTGCTGTTTCATTTGAGGAACATGATTACTGGGTGCTTTTCACAGAACATAAAGTTAGAGGGGGGTTTGTAAGCTGGCTAGCTCACCCCCCTGCTTGATAACAGGGAATACAGAACCAGAGCATACCCAATAGGGAGCTCTGCTTGAAAACAGAAGTTTATTGCCATTCCCTACCACAGACTCACCTTGCCCCTGCTTCACTATGATTAGACCTTTTCCCAACAGGTGCATTAAGCTTTCTCTATGTAAAACCTGTAACTGTGTCTGACAGTTAAACTACCAGTGCTGCAGATCTAGACAGTCAGTATTGCAACAACAGATGGCTGGTGTCACAGCATCCTTAACTCTTGGACTCTTGACATACATTGCCTAGTGGTCAAGCTTGTTCTTTACAAACCTTGCCATTCCTTTTCCTAGTCTTCTAACGATCCTATTGCTTGTTGATTATTATTTATTTCATTTCTGTACCATTCAATAGCTGATGTTCTCTGGAGAGTTAACAACAATTCATAAAAACAATGCAATAAATCCCATACTTTTTCAAAATACAAAAATCTAAAAAGAAACTAAAAACATCTATACATATAATAAATAGTAGACCTGTAAAACACCTGTTGGGTAATCCCCTCAAGCCCTGAATATCCATGTACAGTCAAACCTTGACTTTCATGGTTTTAACTTTCACAGATTTGATTATTTGCAAGTTTGTCATCCATAATTAAATGAATGTTTTTAGTCTTCTGGCCTACTGAGGAAAATTGTCATCACCATAGAGAAGAAGTTAAAGGGGAGAGAGGGAGAGTCTTCAAAGCATGCCTTATTGTGCCACCCGAACGGAAAGGAAAATCTCTCTGGCATTCTCTTGGTGCTGGCAAGTGAAAGGAAGGATGGAGAATAAGAACATAAGTATGTAAGACATGAAGAACAGGATTCCAGGCCAAGGTCTGGAAGTGAGAGAGGGAGAATCAATCCAATACACATGAGGTCAGCAGTATTAACTTCTGAGGGTGGGAGCCAAAGATAGTCACATTTTTTCAACTTTCATGGGGGTCCTACACCCCTAACCCCCATGAATATTTGGTGGGGGGAACTGTGTGTCTTTAAAGGCTACAGCATTACAAGGCATCTTAACCTGGGGCCAAAAAGGGGACAAGGAGAGCCTCAGGTCTTTCTATAACTGGAGGGCCACCATGGAGAAAGCCTTCACCCTTGTTGCTGCCCTCCAAGCCTCCTTCAGAGGTGACAGGAAGGCTCTGGATGTTCAATACAGGTACATCGTGGCTGGCAGAGTCACTCTGTTCAGTAGTGCAGGCCAAGCAGTACAAGAATTTATAGGTTAAAACCTGTTCCTGGAAGAGGGCTTGGATACAATGGAAATCAATGCAAGTGGGCCAGAAATGGTGTTATATATTCAGTTACTAGTCTGGCTGCTGCATTTTACAGAAGCTGCAGCTTCTGGAGAATCTTCAAAGGCAGTCCAATATAGAATGCATTGCAATAATCTTGAATATTCAAGTTGCCTGGCACATATCGGAACTCACTTTGAGTTAAACAGACCATGGTGGCCTGCAGTCATGGTGGCCTGTGAATGTGTATGAATGGGGTGCAGAGACTACGTGGTTGTGAAGTAAGGGTTTAAGCTCACACCCATTCCAGGAGTACGTGTGCAGGCACAGTCCTCTGCTGCCCATTTAACACCCCATGCAGTCCTTTGGATTCTGCACGTTGCCCAACCCTGGTCTCAAACCGAAAGTCACGCTGTTCTCCCTTCTTCCATCCCTACTTAACTGGAAGTGGAATGTGACAACAAAGATCATGCAGGGCATACGCAACTTTAAAACAAATAGAAATGATCCTTAATGAACAAGATTTTCCTATATTTAATGTGAGCCAACAAATTAAACAATGATGTATTCTAGGCCTATCTGCCCTCTCGCTATTGATAGTAAAATAATAAAACTGAAGTTCTCCAATATGTTGTACCTGTGAGAAGGGTATTTTTCTTTTATAGAAGAAATAATCATATTTTCCACTTTTTGATCAGTGACTGTTACTAGATCTGCTGGAGAACTCTTAATCATGACATCTATCTCCTTTGTCAGTGCCTCCCGGATGACCTGTAAAGTAAATATATACATGAGTTGCTCTTGTTTTGACGAACATATGTTAATGAACTTGATAAAGCTGATAAATGGTTCTACCCATTTAAAAGAGATTTATACAGTTTTTGTTTCCTTGCTTGCTCTGGAAATTCCTCATCCTTTCATATTATTTAGGTACTAGTTAGAAGTAACAAGCTTATTCAACACACATTTCTCAGAATAATCAAACATATTTGGATCCAAGTAAGTTATACCTACCTCTCCAGCTTTTCTTGCTAAAGTCACAGCAAAGTCCATGCATTCTTGCCAATGATCAGCCATCTTTATCTAGATAAAGGGGCAGAGTTTACCAATACATATCTCTTAAAAGATCATACAAGAGAATACTGAAGCTGTGATTTTCAAGGGTGACATTTGCTAAATTGTTGGTTTTTAGTTTAGCAATGGTATGAGTAGTAGCGAGCCACTGTGGTACAGTGGTTGAGAGCGAGTCTTGGTTCTAGTGCTTGCTAAGCCATGGAGTCAACTGGGTAACTCTGGGCCAGTCACACACTCTCAGCCCAACCTACCTCACAAGGTTATTACTGTGGGGATAAGACTGAAAGCAGGAGGAGGAGGAGAATAATGTAAGCTGCTTTGGGTTCTTTAAAAAAGGAATATAAAACTAATAAATTAATTAATAGTAGTCAGGATAAAGAAGAGCTGAGTTCAGATCAAGAGTTAAGATAAACTGAGAGGCTGCTTTTATTTCTCCCTCTCTCCAAAGAACTAGAAAATATACCACGACTTCTAAAAAGTTAGTACCATCCAACCCTAACACTTAAATATATTCACTTGGACCTAAGCTCCCGCAACTCTGGAACTGTACTTATGTTCCTGTTGATGCAAGTGGATGATGCCATTGTGTTCAATTCTCCATTCTGCTCTGCACCACCCAAAAATCTCTTCTGCAGGCTTGTGGGAACTTCCAGAACAGCCGGTGGTACTGATGCTGCAAGGCAATCAGTGGACATAATCTTCACCAAAGTAGGCTTTCTTCTTTGAATAGAAGGGGTCCTTCAGTTCACAGAAGAACAACCTAGTTGGGATTTATCTCCTAGGGAATTCCAGCTTGTATCCTGGAAAATGACTATTATCAAGCTGATGTTCTCACATCCAAACCTCAAGGGTAAAATAAAGGTAACACATATCTGCTTCTTGTTGCCCCTGATGTAATGTTAGTATTTTCCATTTTCTTTGGCCACTTATTTTATTGTCTTGCTTAGCTGAAAAATTGTGAGCAAAACTAATTCTTGAATGCTGATATATACAAGTATGATTAGAATGGCATCTCAACTAAAGAGTCTTGTTTACTTCTTTCTAAAGAATGACAAGGCTTAACTGCTGCACTGTCAGATTCTCTTGATCTTCATAAACCGCTTCAGGGCAGAGGAAATTGCTTGTCTTCAATCCAATTCAACACATCATTTTCAAGTAACAAGCTACACAGAGATTACACCATTTCCTTTTATGCTGTCAGACTACATGACAGGCATATGCAGAGCATATGTGCACTGCTGCATAAGTCCAGGAACAGGCATGGAATTGATAATGATGTACAATAAAAGCATGGTTCTTGAAACATTACAATGATAAAAGGTGACAATGATGTATGTAAAGATAAGCAAATAATGAACAAATCACTGACTGCTTATTAGAAATGTCAGATTGTAAACTTTTTTTTACTATAGATCTGACTGTTTTTACTATATCACCTTTCTTGTTGATGGTATTATAAGCATGTATATTTAAGTGAATAAAAATGGATAAATTGACAAAAAACAGATCTCTATTTTCCAGATCATTCCAACTGCAGTATATAATGAAAAAATCTAATTTATATTAATCTGCTGAGGCCATCAGAGGAAGAGAAGGCTGCATTCATAATTCTGATAAATTATAGTACTTGCTGAGCTTTGCTCAAGGATGCCGGGGGATGAAGTCCAAATTAATCTGAAGGTCTGTCTGCTTCCTGCCTACCCCAGTTTAGGTTGTAAACTTGCAGGCAGTGACCTCAGCACATGTTATCTTGCAGGTAGCATTTATTATGATGAGGATAATTTCCATGACCAAATGATAAAACCAGAATCTACTTCTCAGGCAAGAAAGTCCTTCTGTAACTTTTTGTAAAGGCCATGCTGACTCTGTACAGCAGCCTTCCCTAACCTGGTGCCTTCCAGAAGTTTGGACTATCCACTTCCATCAGTCTGGTTAGTGCTAAGGAAAGCTGGGTGATGTCGTTCAAAACATGTAGACCAGTTTGGGGGAACCTCCTCCTATTAGGCAATATTCTCCAAGCTTTCATGGGCGTTTAAATTATGTCTCACGTTTTCTTTCTAGGGTCTTTAGAAAGGCTATATACTAGCGAAGCAATGCAAAAAAGGGACACCCCGTTTTATTCCTGGGGAGGGGCATATCCGTTTCCATCCTGAATGGAAAGTCCGGAAGAACGCAGCAGGGGAACGTTTGCTTGCTTCTAACCAGAGACAGCCTTTCCGTTTAAGGGCTTGATCCCAGCCTTCGTATCATCCTGCAACATACATGCCGGGGTAACAAGAGCCCACGAGCAGGTGCAGAGTGCATTCTCCTGAGTGTTGCGAGCCAAGGTGGGAAGAGCACGAACAGCCGAAGAAATAAGGAAGCAAGTCAAGATCAGCGAAAGGACATTAGGGAAGGGGCCCTACGAGGCCACGGACTCACCGTCAGGAAGTCGAGTCGCTCCGGCTGCTCTCAACCGCTAGCAAACCCGGGCCGTGACGATTTCCAGGGGACGCACTGCGCAGGCGCCAGCGTGACCCAACCGCGTAGCGGCTACGGCGCGGCTAGTTCCGTTACTGCGACGGGGCAGGCGAGCCTCGATGCCCCGAAGGCGGCTCAAGTTGCTCGCTCCGGCGCAGTCTGGTGGCTTTTGCGCTTCCGGATATTTCCTGGGAGCTGGTGAAGAACTAGCCCATGAAAGACGCTAGCGGCCCAGCTACGGTGGCTCCTTTAGGGAAGGACTTAGTGAAGGTAGACGCGGATCTTCTGGCAGATCTAATTTGCAGTGCGTCGGCAAGGTTTTGCGTCCTGGTCGTTTACAAACAAAACAAGATTAAATAGTAAATCTTTGTCATGGCTCATTGTTTTCTTCCGCTCTTCTCATGTGCAAAATGAGAACATTAATTCGTGGTCTTAGACCATTTTGTCAGAGTATTGTTTCAGAGTTCCTCATCAATACTAACTGGAATGGGAGATTTGTATTTACAGAATATAGTTCGTCGGACCAGTAGCTAAATGATTCCACTGCTCTCTTCCTACTGTTTTGCCTTGAGATCTGTTTGGTAGATTTTGCCGAGTCTAGCGAAAACGAAGATTTTTTATTTTCAAGTTGCACATTTGCTCCTTTAAGGCAAGTGTGATCCTATCCAGAACTGATTGCATTCCTTATCCAGACAGAGGAACAATGTAATAGCACAGCCTGGCTTGTCTGGATTGTTTATTGAGGATCATCCAATTTGGCATCTCTATAACTGCACCGAGCTGATACGGAAAAGGAGAGTTGTGTGTTAGCATAGTAACACACCAAGGAGTAAAGCAGTAACCCCTTCCCCCAAGCACCATCCTCTGGAAATGGCTGGCTAGGTCCGAGCAAAACAGTGACTCCCAACTCAAACTGACCAGGAGATACCATAAATGATAATGTCAAATGCTGCTAAGAAATCAAGGAGTATCACTAAGACACTCTTTCCTGTTTTTTGCTTTGGGTCACCATACTGGGCAGTTGATGATTACTTGCAGGGCTGAACGCAGTCCAGAAATAAGTCAATGAATTTCATTAGGTCCTGTGGCAATGACAAATATGAATCGAGTGTGAAAAAACACTCAGCTTGGCAACCAAGTGCTGACAGGTCCAAATGATTGCTTTTCTGATAGCAATTTACATCTGTGAAAGTCAGACAATGAAAAAATTAGACAAGAGAAAAATTGACTCATTTGAGCTGTGGTGTTGGTGGAGGCTCCTGCCATTCCATGGACAGCAGGGATGACGAACAAGCAGGTGCTAGATCATATTAAGCCAAATGCATATTAAGCCAAATGGGGAGGTATGGCATCCTGCTGAGGGAAGAATTCCAAACGCAACACACTCATGGAAAGAACATCACCCACCCACAATTTTTTACTTTGTTTACCACCTTTAAGAAGAATTCTAGAGAATCCGAAAGCTTGCACAGTACTTGGTATCATCTGAGTTGGCCTATTAAAAGTGTTACAGTACTATGGATTTTGGATCACAAAACTGAAGTATTCAGGGATTTAAGTATCACAATTGAATAGACCTCACAGTCCAGTATAAAAATCCATTCCTGGTTGTGCCCTAACCGAAGGATTTCATTTTGGCAGTCTATTTTTTTGTGGTGGCAGGCAAAGGAAGTCATTTTGTTGCTGCCATTATTGAATATTTTGGAGTCAGAAATTCTTGCTAACATTCAGACCAACCTGAGATGTCCCAGTAGATCCTATTTCTACCCACTGCTGATCTAGAGGAACAAAACACATGCAGAATTGGAGTTAGTATTAGCATATATGCTCTGAGTACAGATTACATGAAATATGTCTTGTTTAATTGTTTTCTCAATGAAATGTTTGGAAGTATAACTGGTAAGATGTCCTGCAAAGAACAAACAAAAACCCGCACAAAAAAATCACATTTATTCAGCCTGAGCTTTGAGAAAGCATAGAAACATCCATGAGCATTCAAGACTTGGATTTCTACAAATCAGTTGTTAAGTTCCATTCTAGTTTATTTTGAATAATGTGTAATAATATGCTCAGGGACTCCTGTTTGGAATTATTGGGTGCAGTTTATATAATAAATAAAAATAATGTAGCTTAGGTTTTAATGCAAGTGAAAAGGAGGGGTCCTTAGCATTTTAACAATTGTGCAAAACAAAAAAATGGAAAGATTGTGAGTGATATCATTATATAATATAAATGTATCTCAGAGGAACTAAATGTTTACCAGTGCTATTCTGTTCTTTTCTACCTTCTTTAATGATGTATAGTCCAAATTTTTCCTTACGTTGTACTGTCATCCAGAAAAAACTGCAATTACTAAAATAATCTTTTATAGTTTCAGTTAAAACAGTCCTTATTAAATACAAAAATAAGTATTATTTATTTAGAAATGAGTATTATTTATTTCATTTTACTTCTATGCCAATGCATAACCTGAGGGTTCTTTAGGGTGGCTTACAAATGCTATTATGAGGAAAAGTTAGAGTACAATTAGAATGACATTCAAAAGAGCAATTCTGAAAAAAGGTGAATGGTTTCAGAACACACTAATATAAGACAACCACAAGATCATATACATGAAGTGCTTTATTTGTATTTTGTTTAGACATCCATTTTCCTCAAGCAGATCTATGGAAGGCATGTGGATGACACTATCTTCCTCCGGTCCCTTAGATTATTTCCTTTATGATTACTAGAATGTAGGGATGTGAAAGCTTAGGGAAAAAAACTAAAAAAATCAGTTATTGAAAAAAACTCATTTCATCCTAAATGTTCACAAAACATTGTGGGAAGGGAAGGGATCTTCTTCACCAGCGGGGGAGGGGTTGTTCCCATTTAACTAGGAGGGTAGGTTTCACATCTCTGCCTGCATGTAGGAATGAGCCGGCACAGTTTAAGCATGACAGGTAGAACTTGAACTCAGCAGCTGTCTACTCAAATTCAATTGTTTTCTGTGGTGGTAAATACATAGTGCTGACCACACACATGGGCTGGGTTTTGTACATCACAGGCAAGCAACAGTTTGTGGTTTTTGACCTTGATATACCAGAGATACAATCAGGTTCATCACCAGAGTAATCTCCTTCCCTCCATCACCTTCCCTCTGTCCTCCAGGTGATATCCCAGGAGGGAGATATGAATTCTTCTCTTCGACAGGCATGACCATGGCTGGCAAGCTGTCTCTTGCACAACTAGGGCTCATACCCTGAAAAGCAATAGAGAAGATGGATGGAGGGCATAGCTGGACAGGGCAGGTGGGTGCCTGATCTACGCTCAGGCAAGAGGGAATGAAATCAGTTGAGCAGTGCTGCAGAAAGGTGCAGGACTGCTCAACTAATCCCCCCTCTGCCCCTCACACATGCCAGGTAGATGGAGAAAATCAGCTGGGCTGTGGTATCCAGTTGATTCTCCTGCCTTCCCTTTCTTATGTGGTGGGTGGGAGGAGTAAGAATCAACTGGACAACAGTGAATGGTTGGAGATTTGTCACCCAGCTGATTGCCCACCCATCCACCCTTTCTTGCTCTTGCCTGTGGGACAGGCTTGCCCAGAGCTCACCTTGGCGCTTTTCTAGCAGGCAGCAGCAATGAGAGGGAGGTGGCACTTTCCCTCCTTTCTTGCTCCAATTTGCCAGAGGAGGTCTCCAATTGGGTGCCCAAGAAGCCCCTTGCAAGCAGGAGTGAAAATAGGGATTGGCAGGGAAATCAGCTGAGTGGTGCAGCCTCCAACCGGGCTCTTGGTCTGTAATGTGCAACTATGGAATATTTGTTCACAGGTAGCAGCGCATGTCTGCACTTGGAACATTTAAGAGAGAGAGAATGCAAGAGAGTAGACAGGATGCCTGGCACGTAAGAGCTGCAGGCCAAAAATTGCAGATTACATTTTGAGAACTAATTTCTCAGTGGATGCCATGGATCTCTTTGTTCTACTTGTCAACCAGTGTTAAATGATAGGCTACTAAATTCAGAAGAGCCAGACCTTTACCAACCCCAAGCTGTTCTGCCTTCTTCTTGAGGGAAAGGTACCAGTTTGGAGGCACTCGGTAAATTAAAGCTTAGGAAAATGGGTCTGTTCTTCTGTGACCTGGTGATCTTCGTGGCCACTTTTGAGAGAGAGAGGGAGAATTCTCAATTGTAACAAAAACTGAACAGGAAAAGGAGGAACAACAAAACAAGAGCAGCAATGGAAATTAACATGACAAAAAAGCATATCCATTCACAATAACGTTGACATGGCAATAAAAGGGGAGAGACCTGGCATGATCCTTTCAAATATATACTTACTGTAAGGAGGGCATGTATCTAAACAGACAGAGCTGTCTACTGTAAGATAGCCACTCAAATGTGTGCCTGCCTGCTTTGTCGGCTGATTCCCCCACTGATCTCCATTCTCATTCCTGCTTGCCACAGTGGCGTCCCCAACCCAGTGCCCACCCAAGCACTTTTCCAGCAAGTGAGAGTGAGAAAGAAGGACAAGTGCTGCCTCTCCCTGCAGCTGCCAGCAAATTTTCAGGTATTTGCTGGGTTGGGGATGCCTCTCTGGCAAGCTGGAGTAAGAAATGGGAACCTTTCTAGCTGATTCTTCCCCTCCCACTCACACACAACAAAAAACCAAACCAAACCAGGTTTATACCTTACAGTTAAATATACAACTGACTGGATTCAGTCTTATAATTACATGTGCAGTGGTTTCCATAATTACTGTAGGTATGAATTTACATTTTCTAAAAAATGAACTTCATTATCAAGATATTCCAAGATCACATTTCCACCATTATATAGAGGGGATTCTTTACAGCTTATCCAAGAAGCTAAAATGTGGTCCAGAGGCAAGGCTTCTCCAGATACTGTGTGGCAAAGTCTCAATTTCTGAAAATTAGGGAAAAAAAAGGCTATGTATTTGATTCAGTTAAAAAAAATAATTACAATATAAACATTTGTTTCAATTGATTTACCATAGCTGTGCTTTTGTTGTTGTCATTTTTAAGGTCTGCCATGGAAGCTGCAAAATCTATCACTTTGCCAATGCTCCACTTACTGCAAAAGAACATGGGTTTGCTTTTTTCCTTGCTTCCTCTGGGTAAAAACACTTGGAAGTAGATTCTCTCTGTCTACAACAAAAAAAGCCATTTATGGTATTCAAATATCAGTTTCTAGTCACATATTTCTATTAGGGTTTCTACCCTTCAATGAGGCATAATATCAGTGCTAAATAAATCAAATGTAATCCTCTGAAAGGAACACTTCAGTATCTGGACCTGGTAAACCATGAAAAGTATCTTGTGTTTTGGCCGGATCAACCCACATTTCCCTATTATTTAAGGAGGTTCCAATTTTAGGCCTAAGTGTAATTCACAGTGAAAGTTATTTAAAATAGAGTTTCTAGCCCTCATTGTTGTAAATAACTTTGCATACAGTCCTTCAATCTCAAAATCAGGAGATTGTTGGAAAGTGATTCTGCTGTACTGTACTGTACTGTTGCAATGCTGCTTCTTTCATGTCTTGCAACTATTTAATTTTGAATTTTCATCCTTCTTCTGCCTTAATATGCAGACACTTTATCATTTCATGTAGCAAAAACCATTTTCTTCTAGTTTTAGTATCAAGTGCTTCTTTGAACTCAATACAAAGAAAAAGGATTTAAACTTGGAGTCAGTCCAACAAAAACCCCAGTAGTAATAAGCAATGGAGCTGACCCACTCAGAATATTTACATATTAGAAATATTATGCATTAGCTGTATTATGCATTAGCTAAGTCAGCAGTCAAGAAAAGCGTAACATGTTACTGAACACAGGTATATACCTTTCACTAAACCTTGGCTGAATGAAATTAAAGGTACAATCCGAAGCCTGTTTAAACAGGAAAAAAGTCCTACAACTCCCAGCAGTTCACAACCAGCCTTTACACATTAAGGGACCAGTAAGCCAAAGATCCTTTCTATCATCATTCCTACGTTCAAATGCAGGCATCTACAGACCATGACTTTGGGAATTACATAGCTAATGGAATGGACATCCCAAGAAAATTTTAGAACCCCACTTGTGGACCTTGGAGGACACAGTGGATGCCATCGTAAAGTACACAAGTGCCTCACAAGTACACTAGATTATGGCCTCTCCTACAGTTTCCACTACGTACCCAGCAAAATAATAACTCCATGGAACTCCATGGAAGTTCAGGCATTACCTTAAAAAACCCCCGGTAAATATAGAAAACAATTAGAAGTATGCTGTTTGAAGATGTATGAGCGTGACTTACCTGTGGCAAGGACTTATCCCCGCATGCATGCATTTTTAGTTTCATTAGAGTGACCTTAGCTGCTGTTTCACTGTTCTTGGCACCTCTGCATCTTTTAATCACTGTGGTGTCTTTCTTAGACTCTGAGATATACAAAATCATATACAAAATCATTTTTATCACAATCATCTGCCTCTTATTTTACTAAAATAAAGCATGCTCCAGTGTGCATATTAAGGTGCTTGCCATTATTATACATGTGCAACAGAGAATAGATAGTACCAGTGACTAAAATGGAAATGTTTAGAGCAAGGTATGGAAGAATTACCTTGTTTCAATTGGCCTGCCCAGGCAAAGATTTCAATACAATTAACAACCACTACTTCATTGTTCTGTAGAATTCTTCACGTGTTTTTGCATTTTCCTAGCAGCCCAAATGTAGTACTGTATCACTGGGAAAATACAGTCTGTCACAGAATAATTGCTTCTTGTACAGGTTTTCCATACATTAAGACTGAGAGGATTGGACTCAAGAGTACAGTTTTGGCATACAGAAATAACAGAATCCAAGTGCACACAAGTAGCCCAATATAGGATTAAAGATGAATGCAGAGAGATGGGACCTATAGATCCAATCTTGTTTTCAGGATACAATAGTATGTAGAGCTTACAACACATTCCTGTTTGCTCAGAAGCATTCAGTGAAGACTTACTCTCAGTAAATTGGTATAGAATTGCAAGCTTAATTTCCAAAATGCTGCCATTTGAATACCAGAGGATTTTAGAGTGGCACTCCTATATCCGCTTACTGGAAGTTAGCTTGACTGAACTCAGCAGGACCTCCTTCTGAGCAGGCATGGATAGGATTATGTTGGAAGTTCTTTAACAGGTCAGAGGTAGGGATTGTCAAGATAAATTTAATTAATGCTTTTTTATTTCTTTTATTGTTGTTGACTTGTGTTATATTCTAATGTCCAGTCCCAAACAGTTTACTACAGAAAACTATTTTTAAAAATGCTACAACACATACCTACAATATCTTTAATAAGCTGCTGGGTTGCAGCCATACGGGGTTTAGGAATTTCCAGTTTTTCACACTCATGGTCTAACTGATGTCGATGCCTGGAAATATTAGGTGAGGAACTGTTAACTAGGCACCCTACAAGCTAATCCAAAGGCACAGGAATAACGTTGGTTTCATTCTCCTGCTCACCTTAAGCAAAACTGCTTTTCACAGTAAGCGCATAACACAGGTACAAGTTCTCTTCCATCACAATCTTTATACATGCACAAGAAAGATTTGTGATGATCTGGTTTCACATCTACACTTTTTAGATTAGCCTAGAGTAATTTCAAAAGAAAATTCAGATAAATATACATTATGCAGAGACTAGTGTTACCTACAAATACACACTCAAACATCTATGCAATCTTTTACCATATGGCATACAGGTCTGACATTTGCTTACTGATCCATTCTACCCATTTGGTAAATGTTCTGAATTTAAAAAAGAAAAAATAGATAGAGATGTACTATTATCATAGTTTCAAGGAAACAGAGATTAGCTAACTAAAATATGCACAATAATTGACCTTAGCAAGGTGTAATGGAGTTAGATAAGTCAGTGATCTAAATAAATGTTCCTGCTGATGTGTACCAAAGCCACAATAAAATATACAGAGTCTGATTAATCAGTGAGCAAGAAAAGGGCTACCACACAAGCAGTACCACGTAAATTGCACAGGTCAGCTAAACAAACATTATCTAAATGACTTGTGGCAGAAATAGGAAATACATGGGTATGTTCACACATAACTCCAAACCACTGCCTAGTGCTACATCAACTCCATGCTGTGCTTAGGTGCTCCTTCACCTCATTAATTCGTTCTTGGTTACTTTCTAAATACGTTTAACCAACAAATACTGGTTTGTACTTCCCAATAAATCAGGAATGTAAATCAGGGTGACCACTGGTTTCCAAACTCAGTTTGCAATGCAAAACGAACCATAATTAACCAGGTCAGACTGAATGGCAAACTATGTTTTTTTTTTGAAAAAAATCTTTATTTAAGATATACAACATCTCAGAGTGTGTAAATCCTAGACTCAGTCATGCAGTGCCAATCAGTTGACTTTCTATTTTGATCCACACCACCAGAAATTGATACCACTCAAGCAGCATGAAATTTGGGGGAATATGGTCTGGTTCATACCTGCAAACTCACCAGGATTTAAATCCATGCAATTCTTGTTGCAAATAGGACTTCATGAGCAAAGCTCTATGGTAATACTCTACAAGACATTTCAAACTGCTACCGACTACCTTGATAGCATGTTTTTTTCAGCCACTGAATGAGAGGACGTATGCAGCATTCAGTCTGAACTTAATAGTCCACAGTGATCCACATGGTCCCATAAAATGATGGATTATTATGTGGACTTTAAAAAGCTCATTTGTGTGGGTAATTTGGCAAAAATGTACAGTAAACTGGATTGTCTTAACAAAAACTTGTGAACTGCTGCTTGCAGAATTATTCAGATGCACCTAAAAGAACTGAAACTATTAGCTAAAGTATTCATAGGTGTTCCAAACAACTTATTTCATAAATTATTACCTTACCTCTGAACAACTGTGAGCAGCCCGACTTCTGTGCTGAAGACTTAGTTACATAAAAATAAAGACAGCACATATCATTAGTGTGTGAAATAACAAAACCAGAATTATTGTGGAAAGCAATGTAATGAATTTGGTACAGTCCATCGTATATTGTACCAATGTAATATATTATTTTCAAGAAACAGGTATATTTTATTTCACACTTAGGTTTCTATTAAGAAAACTGATGGCATTACATAAGTAATAAGTAGTTTCTTACCAAAAGACTCCTGAACAGCCATCACAGACAAAAGGTAAAAAATCTAAAATGAAAGAGATAATATCTATAGTAAGACTGACAAAAATATTATCTATATTATTTATTTAAAAAAGTTATCAGTACCAAGGCTAAGTCTTACAATGTGAATTACGTAGCAGAGTGCTTGGGCGTGCGTGCAATGCTTTTGCCACCCTGATAAACAATGACAGGATTAAACAGCAACAACTCCAGCACACACAGCAGGACTACCAGGCTGGCTTGAGTGCCACATCTCTCTTTTTCAAAGTTGCTGCTGCTTTAACATAAAACTAAGAATAAAACAGAATACTAAATGTATTCTGTTGAGCTTTCATTTAATGACAGACTTTCTGCTGGTGCTGCAGTGGTTCAACTGCTGGGTTTCAATAACTTTTACTCATATTAGTGTCACTGTTTTAATTAATTTTATATCTAGATTAAGTGCTCCTTTCCACAGATGGCCAGCAACAACTATTTTAGATATTATATATTCATATCCCACCTTTTTGCCTACAACGTATCCAAGGTGGTTAACTTATTATCTGTTCCACTTTGTCCTCATAACAACACTACCGCTGTTCAGGTCAGTGCCTACTCCAAAATCACCCAGTAAGCTGTGTGGCAGAATGGAGCACCACAACCCAGATAGTGAATTTAAAGGATAAAGGTAATTATTATTAAAATCGCTAAAATGCAATTACAATGAAAAGTAGCGTTAAGCGAAAACATCGCTTCTCTCGATTAAAGTGCACCGCACTGAACATAAACTATCCTTTGAGCCCATTTCGTGGAAAAGCAGGATAAACATATTGGAAATATATAATCCTACTCTCCTAGCTGCAAATACAGTCATCTCATCAGGCAGACAAGAGCTTTTTTATTATTATTTAAACCAATTAGCTACTCGCTTGCATGCCCTTTTGCCTTCAGTGATAACAGCGTCCTTGACAAGCTACGCTGGTTAGCCGGCAACGAGGCTGGGGAAACACAGTCCACGCCCACTCCTAGGGAGAGCCGCGCCCTTCCGTTTGTTGATTGTCAAACATCTCCTCCTCGTAACACGCACCAGGAGGCGGCATTCGTAGTGGCAGAAAGTGCTACAGAAGACCTTTCTCTACACTTCCGGTTTCTTTCTGAATATTGAGGGGAATAAACAGAAAGCAAAAGGCAGGAGCCACTCTAATGCTCCATGCTCGACGGACAACCGCAAGAAGTTGTGAACAGTCGAAGCTTCTCCCCTCAACACCTTTTCCCAACCAGTAGTTCAAGCCTTTGCAATATATTTATTCTACACTCCCACACCGTCAGGTCTCATAGGCTGTGCCTTCTAAATGAGAGCTCTTACCAAGTTGTCGACAGTTCTTCACGTCGCAGTGCTTTCCGATCTCCAATTCCGCCATGTTCGTGTATAGCGCATGCGCACACTCCCATCATGATCCCTGAACTCCGAAAGCTTAGTTCCGCACCACCTCCTACGAAGAGGAGGAGTTCCAATGGCTGTCTGGGCTGCCATTGACGTCATATTGGAGGCGGAGCTTGAGCATTTAGGATTCCCGAACTCTGAAAAATTGAGTCAATTACTGTGTTAGAGCGTTACAACTTCTTATTCTCTCCTACTGGCATTCTTTTGTTTTGGCACATCACAATTGATACTCTCCCGTCGTCCCATGGTTTATTTTCTGTATTGTGCAAGCCAGTTTGAGACTTTTTTTGCGGTGGAAAGTGACAGACATTTAATTAATAAATAGAATGATCAGTATTTGCTTATACCAATGTACCACACATTTTAAATATGCTGATACAACGTAACGAATTTAAACTGCAATCTTAATCCTATCTATTCAGAGTAAATCCTATTGAATTTGGGAGACTTACTTTTCAGTATACAGGCTTTAAATTGTGCTGACAATTGTTTCAAGAAAAGTCTAAGGACTGTTCTCATAGGATTACGGATTAGCAAGACTTCTGTCGGTTTTGCTTTTAGTACTTAAAATAGACAGTTTCCTTGCGTTCTCTAATTCCCACTCGTGACAGACTCAGAGCAATTCAACCCACGGATTAAATGCACTCTTACTGTCCTACCGACAAGCCTGTGAGATTCAAAGTTATATGTCTGGACTAAGGTCCACTCGCTCAACGAAACTTAAATGCACTTGCTGTAATGGTAGCTGCTTAAAGGCTCAATTCTATGGATATTTAGACAGGAAAAAGCATTTTACAGCTCCCAATATGCCCCAGCTAGCATGGCTGATCAGGGAATACCGGGAGTTGTAGGATTTTTCTCTGTCTGAACATGCATAGTTCTGTGCTCTAATTTTCCAAGGATTTCTAATCTAATGTTGGTTAATTATATTAGTGTAATGAAACTAAAACAGACATTTAGTGACAACTTCAAATTCAAATTTACGAAGTAAACTGGAAACCTCGGATAATTAATTCAGATCTTTTCTAACTCAGTTGCAAGTAACCTTAGTTTCCCCTTTATTCTGTAAAATGCGAACAGAATATGGCTTTATGACCGACCATATAAACCAAGTATATAGTAAGCAAGGGACCATAACCTTCAGACGTTAGTCCTACTATCGTAGTGCTGCTCGGCTCTTGTAAGTTTTCGAAGCAACCATAACGAAGGTGTTGCTGAGCATGTGCAGACAGCAAGAACACTTTCCACCACGATGTGTGTATCCGAAGCCAACAGCTGGGACTGCTGAAAACTCGAGGCTTCGTTTCAGAGTCCGCCCACCTCCCGAGCCAGAGAGATCAGGTTTCTCACTCTGGAGCTCCTTTGCTGCTTTTCATGGGGCTGCCGATCCCGACACTTCCGCTTGCGCTTGCGTGGCAGCAGTGGATGTCACCTGCGTGTGTACAGGGGGACACATTCCGCAGGTCAAAGCACCTGTCGCAGGTGCCTGCCGGTCACGTGGCTCCGTCATCAGCCTAGGCGGAGGCAGCTACAGCAGCTTGGGTTTCCTCCTCTTCCTCTCTCCTGGCGCTTTCCACGGCGTCAGCCGGACGCAGCTAGGAAATGCAGTAATCACCGCTTTTGGCTTGTTGTTGCGCTTCGGGGAGGTGCTTAGGCGGGGGCGCTACGCGAAACTTCGAGGAGAGGAGAGCCCGTCACCATAGTCCGGAGTCGATTTCTGGATAAGTTGGCGGCTGGGTAAAAATGAGTAAAATACAGAAGTTTTTCAAGGGCGGAGGAGGCTCTGGCTTCCCCAAGGGGAAAGGCAAAGGGGGCCCCACCCCCCAGGAGGCTTTAGCCAGGCTGCGGGAGACGGAGGAGATGCTGACCAAGAAGCAGGAGTATCTGGAGGCCAGGATAGAAAAGGAGCTGGCGCTGGCTAAGAAGCACGGCACACGCGACAAGCGAGGTGAGGCTTTTGTTTTTCTGGGCCAGGCCTTCACCTGAAAAGGGATTCAAGTTCGGGAAGTAATGGACTGACTACAGATGTGGTTTCAGTGCCAGAGTATTCAGTCTCCTTAGGAAATAATTCCTCTGAGTATGTGCAGAGTACAGTTCCATTACTGTTGACTAATAGCAGCTTTAACTCCAAGATTTGCGTTTTAAGGGTCAGGGCAGTCTTTTGTCTCTCACTCCTTAGAAATTAGTCTATTGCGTGTGAAATGATGCAATATATTGCAAAATGTATATTACATAGGAGGTAGTTTCCGTTTGGCACTGAAATTAATTGCATGCCTCTAAATCATCTTTGAGGATTTGCACACTGTTATCTACTTTTAATTTTTTTGATTCGTTTAGGGAGTTTTTGATGGTGTGTGTGCTGATGGTTAGCAGTTGCAGTTTTTATCTTGGTTTTAGCTTGCTTTATTTGCACTACTCTGTTAATATTGTTTTACATTTTTGTAACCTCCTTAGAAATGTTTCTTTTTCTTTTTGGTCCTGAAAGGGTATTCATTTATATAAAAATTGAACCCCCATGTATATGTCATTTGAAGGCATGATTGATCATTGCTCCAAGTATATATCAAGAGCATGTGTATGTGCGTGCACACCCATTCGTAATCACAGTGTGTTATTTGATTCAAGGAATGCAAACATTCAAATGCAAGACAGCTCCCTTTTTGGATTCCCAGGCAAATATCCTTGAAATCAGTGATATCATCAAGCAATTCTGTTATTGGGTGTTATAGAAATGTAATTAACTCTTTGGATGGTTCATGGACATTTAAAACCTAAAATACAGCATGCTGAATATAGAACTTCTGAAGTTTAAAACAGAATTTTAGAGTATGTACATCATGGTCTTATGTGGACACTCACGGCAATGGCAATCATATTGTTTCACTTTGGGAACAATCCTATGGGCCCCTATACAGCATCCATGGGGTTCTAAGGTATATAAAGTTTCCCAAGTACAGAGCAGGAAAGTGGATCTGTGACCTCTGTCCTTTCTGTGGAAAGAACAACATTGCCTGCTCTCTGAGGTCAGGAACTCAATCTTAGAGAAGGGGGCATTTCAGTGGGAGGAGAAGAGAGCGGAGATGGAGGATATGAGATACCTTGTGGACTTTCCGGCCTCTTTTGACACACCCCAGTTAGATGGACAAAAACCTTTATCTAGCAAAAGCTGCATAGTGGGAACATGAAGAGGCAAAGATTGCTTTTGTACCTCTTCTTGCTCTGCATAGCAGCTTAGAATAGTAGAATTGGATGGTGTCATGAAGGCCATTCGGTCCAACCCCTTCTGTTGCAGGACACCAATTTACACTATCCCACTCAGATAGTTGTCCAGTTTCTTTTTGAATCTCTTTAGTGTAGGAGAACCCATGACCTCTCCAGGCAACTGATTCCACTGTCATATTGCTCTGACAGTGAGCAAACTTTCCCTGATACCTAGCCTGAATCTGGATTGTCACAACTCGAATTGATTATTCCGTGTCCGGCAGGCTGGTATCAGCAAGAAGAGATGTTGACCTTCCTCTCTCTGACAGCCTTTGAGGTACTTATAGAGGGATATAATGTCCCCCATCAGTCTTCTCTTCTCAAGACTGAACATGCCCAGTTCGCCAGTCACTCCTCACAGGGCAGTTTTTCCAAACCTTGGATCATTTTTGTTGCCCTCCTCTGGACTCTTTCTAATTTTCTGCATCTTTCTTAAATCTTGGTGCCCAGAACTGGACACAATATTTCAGATGAAGTCTGACTAGGGAGGAGTATAGGGGAACCGCCTGGCGCCGTCGTTATTCGTTTTTCGGCGCCAGGCGAAGACCTTTTAATTCAAATGTCATTTTAATTGTTAATAGTATTTATTCATTTTATTGTTTGGCCAGGGCGACTTAATTTATACTGTTAATTTATATTATTCTATGGAAGTTTATTTATGGATGTGAGCCGCCCTGAGGCTTCGGCGAATGGGGTGGCATAGAAGTCTCCTAAATAAACAAACAAATAAACCACTACTTCTCCTGATTTGGAAGTGACAGTTCTGTTAACGCATTCCAAAAATAGCATTTGCCCTTTTGGCAGCTGCCTCGCATTGTAGGCTCATACTTAGCCTGTTGTCCACAGTTACTCCCATTTCTTTTCCTTTTTCAGTTCTGTTGAGCCATGTATGGTAGGCATGTCATGGGTAGAGCTGGCAGGAGTCAGAGGTCAGACTAGATGGACCAGGAGGCCCCTTCTGACTCACTCTGTTTCTATGTTTCTATGTATTCCCCATCTTGTATCGATGCATTTGGTTTCTTTTTCCTAGGGGGAGGACTTGGCACTTGTCCCTATTGAATCTCATTCTGTTGCTTTTAGCCCAGTGTTCAAGTTTATCATGATTGCCCTGGATCCTCATTCTGTCTTGCAAACCTCTTATAGATGTTCATTCTGATGCTTGTATACCTTGTATTGTGGGGATTAATTGTCATTAAGGCCATTCAGTCTTAATGACATTTGGGAGCTCTCTCGTCCATTCTGGACTTGGGTCTTGAGCTTCTGCTCCAAAGTTATCTCTATAATACCATTGCTAGAAATCAGCTATGTTGTCTCTTCATGCATTCTCAGAAAGGAAACACATTATTACAATATTGGTTCCCCTAAATTGTCTCTGTATAATTTTATCTCTATATATAGCCTATTGTTTCTTTTGTGTGTAGCACATTGAACTTTATACCTACTTACTTGGAAGTTAGGTTAATAAATGAGTGGACCATTTTCAATTAATTTGAAACAGTAGCATGTAACTTCTGGCCTGGAGGCCTTTTGGTCTAATTTGCCCCGCCCCATCTCTAACAACCAACAATAATTTGATGGTTTCCTGGATTCTCTTTCCTGGATGGTTTCCTTTCTCCTGTTCTAAAAGGTTGAAATGCCCTTCCTCAAGCTTAGCTAGTGGCAGAATGAGCTTTAGTTTAATTTTAAACTGGTATCTTTAGCATTGTGGTTCTGTCCCTTTTGGCTCCATCCCTTTTGCCTTCTGTCCTGCACACCCCTGGAATGTACCCTCCCTGCCCCCTGCCATCTTCTCTGAATGCTGAAAGATGCTCTGCACCTTGGGAATAAGGAGTCTTTGGAACTGGATAATTTCAGGCTGTGTCCAGAAATTATATCTTTCACCCCTAGGTTTTGCTATGAAGTCTAGTACTAAATTTAGGCTGCAATCTTGAATGCTTATACCAGGGAATATGTCCCATTCCTTTTAACATCTTTAGAATTGCTCTGCAACCATTTTACTGGGAACCAGGATTGAAGTGCTTCTTGGATTTGTGTGTTTGCTTCCTTTAATTGTCTAAAATGTCCCTACATCATAGTCTTAAAAGTATGAAATCTTGCATATTTTGGTGATATGCTTTTCGTATATCATTGTACACAGGCTAGACTATTTTGGTTTATGTACAGACTTTTACTAGCACTTCTTGTTAAAACTAAACTGAAGATCATTATGTCTTATAAATAACTATGTGCACGTGAAGAATATTCTTGGATTTTTTAAATCTGACCTAAAAAATAACATGGTGTGTAACAACTTTAGTGCTTTTCCTGCTTCTATAGACCCACCTTAGCTAACCAATAAAAATTGCAGCACGAAGTCATGTAGGTGTGTTCTAAACTTTTATAATGGTATACTGTGTGGCTTTGTGACTGCACTTACGTTTTGACCTTCAGTGTTGACTCTACCCTAATTAAAAGATGCAAGTTGCATGCCTGTGTAAAAGCCTTTCTCCAACCTGGTACCTTCCAGATGTGTTTGAACACAACTCCCAGGAATTGGCTGGCTGGGAATGATGAGAGTGAGTTATACTTCTAAACATATGGAAGGCACTTAGAGGGTGTGTTTCTTTTCTGGATGAACATTGAGTGGATTCAGGAGGTGAAGGAGGCAAATTATGAGAAGCAAAATGAAGGAGTGGTTGTTGTGGGGTTGTTACTGGACATGCAGTTCTGTGGCAGATATGCATAAAGAAACATGCTTAGAACACACCTAAGCACACTTTCCTTCTTAGCAGAGCCCAGAGAATTCCTTGGTATGCACCTGACGGCAAGACAGGGAAGCAAGAAGGAAGAAGCCTAGAATGCAGGTGAAGGAAAGCTCATGCGAAATCTGCCTGAACACAAAGCAGTTATTTTCTACCACTGTTGCATCTTCTCAGTGCCATTCAGTGGAGCTTTGATTCATAGCCTGACACAGTCAGGGACGGAGAGAGAAATGGTAGACCCCTCTGTAGCACACTGTAACAAGGCTGGGCAGTATGTTAAAAACAAAGTTGTTCAGTTCCATCATAAGTTGAATGCTGCAATTAATACCTAAAAGGTAAAGGTTTCCCCTTGACATTAAGTCCAGTCATACCTGACTCTAGGGGGCGGTGCTCATCTCCGTTTCCTAGCCGAGGGAGCCAGCGTTTGTCCGCAGACAGTCTCTGTGGTCATGTGGCTGCATGACTAAACACCGAAGTGCACAGAATGCTGTTATCTTCCCACCGAAGTGGTACCTTTTTATCTACTTGCATTTGCATGCTTTCGAACTGCAAGGTTGGCAGGAGCTGGGACAGAGCAACAGGAACTCACCCCATTGTGCTGATTTGAACCGGCAACCTTTCAGTCAACCAGCCCAGCAGTTTAAACCACTGCACCACCTGCAGTCCCTAATTAATACCTACAGCATTACTAATACTCTCCATTAGTAGAGTTGCCCAGCTCCCCTTTTATTGGATGAGTTTGAGTTGTTGAGGCCCAAGGGCGCAAGTAAGGTTGCTTGGTCAAACCTAATTGACCAGTTGTTAGCTTGACTCTTGCCATTCATAGCTTATTACCAGTAATTGGGAGGGGGTATTAGGCTGGATCCAGGTGGTTCTTGAGAGAAGGAGTGGTGCCAGCTTTCTTAAAAGAGACAGTAACTGGGCCTTTAAAAAGAGCTTAAGTCCA